TATTTGTGTTTATTTTTTAGGTAGGAATTTGCATTGAACTCTGTTATTCTGTTGTATTAGGCTTGACCCTGTTTGCTCACTCACTTTACTTCCTGTGCAAGCATCCCTGTGTTGTCGAGGATGCAACAGGGATAGAAGAAGTGAACTGATCAAAGATATACTTCCTCAGGGATGGCCTCAACCCAAGACTTCTAAATCTGACATCCCAAGTATTCATCTATAGGTATTGGACCAGACTCAAATTGCTGTAGAACCTCCACCGGAAACCATTTCAAGGGGATGATGAAGACTCGTTTGCGGAGAATCAGATTTTGAAACATGAACAATAAACCCATCCTCACTTGTGTATTCTAAAAGCAAGTCCTAATTCATGTAGAAAGAGCTTTTGAACATTGAAGCTTGACAGTGAATTTAGGAGATCACTCAAAAGTGTTCCAACATGATGATTATGCAAAGGTACTTAATCTTGTGACATTTACCATTGAGTTAAAGCTACAAGGGTAGTATGTTTCTGCAGAGCAATGTAAATGTTATAGGGTTGAAATGGTGGTGTACATATCCCCATGAGCCAAGGTGCTGTCTTATTTTGCTCCAGATCATTGCATTAAGGCTTCCGGAATGGAATTGGGGTATGCAAATATACATTTATCAAGTGAAATTTCCACCTTTCTGAAACATTGTATTCTGATACTAAGCATTCCTTTAAAATACTTTAAAATTCCTTGATAAAAATAAGTTTTTATAAAGATTATGAATGTGCAAAACTAAAGGGCAATATCTGTTTACAGCAGCCTCCCCTGTTATGACCCAAGAATGCCATTCACCCGTCATACCTTAACTCTAAATGTTGTGTTCCTGAAGCCTGATTACAATTTCCAGCAAAGATGAGTCTGATTTGAAGATTTATTGGATGCATACCTTGTCAAAGAAGAGCTATATATGCTTTCTTTTTCACAAAATATTTCTTACACAGATGAAAATAAAAGACATATGAAGAAATTAGGCTCAAATATGAATATTTTACATTAGGAACACAGGCGGAGTGTTTTGCTTCTTAGGATAAAATAACCTTTGTAAGCTAAGCCAAGAGATTATTTTCATATTTCAGAGTTTAAACAAAGCCCTTTTGAATTCTTGTATTTTCAGTGAGGGGAAAAATATTTTAATAAGATACTGACAAATTTTATATCAGCTGGGGATGAGTTCTATTCAATAATGAATAGTGTTAGGAAGGAGAAAAATAATTATATCACTTTGTTAAAACAAAATTTAACATGCTTGAAGATGGCTCAAAATATCTTAGCTCTGAAGAGTTTGCTAAAACATATGTACTCTGTTTTTGGTGTTGTAGAAATGTATTTAAACGAGAAGAGTGTCTGCCTTTTCACATAGTGAAATAATCTGGTGATTGTATCTATATGATGAAAACCAAGCTAAAGGAAGTGAGAGGCATTTATGCATAATGGAACAAATCTTTTCCACTTTGGATCTTAGTATAAACTTTGGGATGATAGCTTTTAGATCTTCAGCATTTACTGAAATGGAGTGTCTTTCCACATATTTTATGAGCTTTTAAATCTTTCAAGCCATTAAATAGACATGAAGAAGTTAGATCTTTTTAGATTTTTATTTATCTTTGCAATTTTCTATATAGCTTTTCTGCTTTTATTATTCATTAGCTAAATACAAACACACAGTTTTCAAATGAAGCCATCAAGCATATGTAAGCCCCAAATATTCTGACACTTCGGCTGAAATAATGATTTTTTTGGTCCTTAAACAAATCACAAGTATCCTTTGTCACAAGAGTCTTTCATTCAAAAGTATGTGAAGTTAACATCAGTCCTACTTGAGTTTAGAGGAGTTTTTCACACTCGAGTGTTGAATATCTTAATATCTGACATGCATTTACACCTTAAAAGTTAAACCTGTTTCTTTGTGATTCACTGTCAGATTTTTTTCTTTAAAAGTTAACCCCGGTGTCTCACCTCACCTTTGGGTAACTTCTCAGAGCAGACACTAAAGCAGACAAACCATATGTGTGAGACACAATCTGTTCCACATTAGCAGCCATGACTACAAGAATTGAACAGAGCAGGTGACACATGACCAAAATCTGCTTGTTGGAAATCTAATGAAAGCACAGCAAAGGGGTGAAGGACCATGCAGCCGCAGCAGGAGCTGCCTCCCACTTCAACAGTGACATCCACTCATTTGTTGAACGCCTGTGCAGGACAATCTGAGCTGAGCTCTGTGCATGCTGTGTTACTAGATCTGTAGAACAGCCCTCCGGGGTGGGTGGTGGAATTATTTCCCCTTTACATGTTAAAAAAATTCCAGGGAAGTGAAGTATTCTTTGCCCTTGGTTACACAGCTGGTCATGGGTGAGTAGGATGAATGACCAGTGAGCACTTGGGTCTGAATCCCATTTCTGTTCTTTATGCTGTTATATGAAAGGCTCAGCCAGGGACTGGGGACCAGGTAAGAGCTCGGGGGTAGGAGCAATAAATAGGAAATGGGGAAAATTTTAAACAAAGAGAAGCTCCATAAAAGCAGCTAGTTGTTACCACAGGTTTAGAATCTAGAATATTCCTTGACATTGAGATGATAAATCCTTTTTCAGATACTGAGGGCAAAGAAGGAAAGATGGCTTTGCCAGTCAAAGTTGTTAAGTAGGAAATCTCCTAAGTGGGGAGGTATGGAAGTTTCTCCTGCAACTCGAATGTGTATGTGAAACTCTAAGAGCTCTCGTTAATGTATGGATTTTGACTTAGCAGATCAGCACTGCATTTCTGTATCGTGTTCAGATGGCACAGCAGCTGCTACTCATCTACAGACTGTGTGTTGTGTCTGTACTCAGAGGGCTCAAACAAAATTGGATGGACAGTGTTCTTTATTTCCTTTTCTAAGTTTCTGTAGTTCTAGGACTCAGGGATGAAGAAGAGGGAGAAAGGCTCATGAGGGTTTGTCATTGAGCTTCACAACTCTAATGGTAGAAACTAAGTCAGAACAGAAAAAAAGAAAACCATGTACACATGAAGAATCCTAAGAATAGTTCTACAAGCAAGCCAAACCAAAGCATACAGCAGAAATTGGCCCCAAATAAAAAAGCAGTTCCACCTTTTTCTTTTCTAATTTTGTTCTTTTAAAATTTTAAGAGAATTGGGGACTCAAGTTTTTCTTCTTACTTTCTGTTTGCTCTGTCAGCAGAAATGCGGCTGTATACCTCAGGAACTTGTATGTGAAATTATAAGGAAAATTAAGAAAGCTGGACTGTAAAAACAAGCCAAATAATAAAATTAGTACTCGGATGAATAGATTAAACCCATAGGCTTATTTATTTCCTGTCCTTGCGAGCCACTTAAAATTCATTATGTCTTATTATATGGAGAGAATAATACCAACATACAATAAAAGTATAATGGTAAGCATTCATATATTCCCCACTTAGTTTAGGAAGTAAACCTGCAAAGCTAAATTTTCCACCAAATGCCCCCTAAACATGGCCCACCGTCTCTGCATGTTAGCTTATGGTAGACATTTACTACTTTCACATACTAAGAGCACATTCAGTCCACTCTTAGCGTTACTGTAGATGTTTTTAAATTCATATACATGGTGTCACACTGCGTTCTCACACTTGCTTTTCTTGCCAGCTCACAGTGTTCACAGTTGCACAATAGTGCATTTAGCTCCACTTCTGTCTGAGATGATGCTCACCATCTGGGGCCGCACAGACTCACAGTGGCTTTGTAAGATTCAGTATTTTGTGTGCTAGTACATTTTTACATGTCTCACTGTATCATTGAAGAGCTGTCATCTAGAGTTCAGATGAACGGCACTCCTGGTACAGTCAGTTAATGGACTGGGGGTGGTTTTAATTCTTGCTTTACTGAAATTCTCATCTGAAATTGGACATTATTTAACCACTTTCCCGTTACTTTGCCGAGATGATTGTCGTGCTATGCACCAATTTATAGAACTGATGTGGTGTCATTTTTTGGTTACAATTTGGTTGCCTAGGAGATGGATTCCTTAATTTGTATAAGGGATGTGTTCTTGAAATTGTGGCACATGAATGAGTTCGCAAGGGAAAATCTACTTTGATGTGTCTAGTGTACTTACTGTTCAAAAGCTCCTGTTTTCATAGTTAAAACTCATTTAAAACCAAGTTTCTTCTTTTGGGCTTTCCATCGATGAGTATGTCTCTGGGGTTCATGCGTTCATTTCTTTAAAGCCCGTGGGTGGTGTTTAGGGTCTCTTACTACAGTGCACCATTTTGTATATAGAACTACAATTGCGCTGAAAAGTGCAGAATGCCTTGGAGACAGGTCGTTACCCAGACAGATTAAAAGGAATTGTTGAACACTTATTCAATTAATTTATTAAATGTGCTCAGTCAGTCCAGTAAATCAAAGAAATGTGCTCTCTCCTCCTTCATTATCAGTTTGAGATTGGTCTGAAGTATATGAAATAATTTCCTCAACTTTTACTTTGTAGTTGCCTATAAAGACCTAGCCTAATTTTCCTCTGGTGTGAACAAACTAAATTATTCTCACCTCTTCCGGAAACCTTTACAAATATTTTTCAGATGCTTCTTTGTTGTCATTTGTACTGTACTTTAACTTTTGGTTTCTGATAAATACATGGGCACATTGGGTTTTCAATTATGTAACACACTTGAATAATGTATGTATCATTTTTTGCTTAAGGGGGAATAAAGTGTAAAGTGCATTTTATAATGTCTTCTTTTAAATTTAAAAATGCTAGTTGGGTATGGTGGCATTTACCTGTAATCACAGTGCTCTGGGAGGCTGAGGCAGGAAGATTTCAAGTTTCAGCCTAGCTTGGGAAACTAAACAATTTAGTGAAACCCTGTCTCAAAAAAAAAAAAATGTGTTTAGAATGTAGCTCAATGCAAAGGCCCTGGGTTCAATCCCTAGTACCTGGAAAAAAATCTAAGAGAAGGAAAAAAAATCCCTTGGCATTTCTTTTTACAGGTGGCAGCTGAATGGAAGTAATATCGATATGAGTCTGGAACACCGTTACAAGTTGAATGGTGGAAATCTTGTGGTTTTTAACCCCAACAGAAACTGGGATACTGGAAGTTACCAATGTTTTGCAACAAATTCACTTGGAACAGTTGTCAGCAGAGAAGCTAAACTCCAGTTTGCCTGTAAGTTTATACTTATATAGATTTCAAAAATATTTTAAAATATATAACTTAATTTATGTGATTAGAGTTTTAGAAACAGTATAGAGATTATATTGATAAAATAAAGGCAATAACAGTATGATTTTTAGAATTGCGAGTTAGTATAAAACTTAGATCTTAAAGTGTGTATCTGTATGTGTGCACAGTAATTTTAAAATTTTAAAAATAAGTTGTATATTTCATGGATATTTTTTAAACTATAGGGTATATTATATAATTTTTACCTTTAAGTTTACTAAAATATTTTGCATATATTTTTAATAGACAGAATTTAAAGTGCAGTTTCTTTTTTTTCTTTTTTTTTTTTTTGGTACCAGGGATTGAACTCAGGACCTTGTGCTTGCGAGGCAGGCAGCGGCACTACTAAGCTGAATCCCTGGCCCTAAGTGTAGTTTCTTTTAGAGTACTTTGTTTTAAAACAGAGTTTAGTTTCTTTTTTCTTCAATGTGTAGTTTTAAGTATTTGTGCATTTCCATATTATACATGTCATATATACATATTTTATGTACTACACTGTGTATAGATGCATTTGTATGTAGTAAATATGTAGTTATAAAATATTGTAGTTATGAATAATATGTATAGATTTGAAGTAGAATTTTATAACAGTCTATTATGTGTCCGTGTTTTGCCTGGCTTTAGTGCCAACTACCAGATCTCTTTCTTTCTTTTTTTTTTTTTTTTTTCTGGTACCGGTGATTGAACTTGGGACCTTGTGCTTGTGCTACAGGTGGTGGAAGCACTAAGCTAAATCCCTGGCCCCCTTTTTCTATTTTTACATTATGATATTTTATTTTTCAAGGCTTGTACATTTGTAAAATTTAATGTGGTATGTTTAAAATTTCAAACACATTTCATACTTGTGCATTTTAAAAACTATTTTTCGATGGCGTTATACACAAAGATAGCTTTTGGCTGGTCAGGAATGTTGAAACTCAACACCATCAGATAATTCTGTGTGTGCTCTGTTGCTTTCTGGAACTACTTCTAAAGGGAAAAAGGTGATCAAAAGAATTTCTCTTCCTTGGGAACTCATTTCCACTGGCTATACTTTTGGCTTATAGAGAGTAGAATTATTTCTTCTTTATCCTTATAATTTAAAACATGTTTCCAGCATACAGTTACATTTATGTCTACTTTAACATCTTTTGCATAGAACATGAAAAATTCTCTAGTAAATGTACACATTATAAGTAAAATTATTATACTCTGGGCAAGATTTTTCTTCTATATCTTTTATGTTTATGTTTATGTTTAAAAGGCTCTGATCTGTATTAACATGTTAAATATCCCCGTTTTGAAATCATTTTTATCTGTTCTTTTCTATGAATTTTGGTTCCTGAGTCATAGAAGCTACATTTTCTCATATTCCCTTGGAGATGAAGATTGTTTTTTGAAATGTCCTTCTACCACTTCCATTTAGTGCTTCCATATTTATGTTTAAGAGCTTTCAGTAGGCTCTAATAGAGATCATGCCCACACTCAGTATTTATCAACATATGGTTTGGGTGGACTGTTCCCCACAGAAGGGAGAATATCTTACCTAACCCACAGGAGATGTACAATTCCCATATCAGTGCTGTTTCCAGGAGTCTCTCATGAAATACCACAGTGAATAAATTTTAAAAATTTATTACAGTAGAAGACACGCTATCATCAATCCCCATGAAGGTACTCATCTTCTCTTTGTTACACCCATTATTCTTACTACTTTCTAAAGCAGTCCACTTTTTTATTCCTCATTGAAAAGCAGTCCACTTTCGTAAGTATCTTGGATTGCATAGTTGTGGCTGGCTCCTTGCCCTCAATCTATTCAAAACATTTACTTTGCACATTCTTTTTGACTTTTGGGAAGAGCTAGAAGTTATATGCTACCAGATCTGCTGAGTAAGGTTGATGAGGACACCAGGATGTCATTACAAGCCTGCCTTTCCTCTGGATGGCATTCAGCACGAGTATTCATCATAGTTATGATCACATTTCATAAAAACGTGAAATAGGACTTACAGAGCTACTTTAGAGACTATCAAGAATGATTGGATAAGTGTTTGAAGGGAGGGTGAGCTTTTAGAGGAGGACTGATAGCTATGTGTCTCTTACTGTAATAAATTTATAAATATTCACCCCTTTTGCTTAACTTTTGTACACTGTTTAATATAATGATACTGCTCTACTAAGATTCTTCATAGCCTGTAGTATAAGGAATACAATGAACTGAGACGTTTTACCTCTGTGAGCTCCTTCTGACTTACATGGAAAATACCTTTAAACTTGTTCTGTAAATTCATCATAGTTATGATCACATTTCATAAAAACGTGAAATAGGACTTACAGAGCTACTTTAGAGACTATCAAGAATGATTGGATAAGTGTTTGAAGGGAGGGTGAGCTTTTAGAGGAGGACTGATAGCTATGTGTCTCTTACTGTAATAAATTTATAAATATTCACCCCTTTTGCTTAACTTTTCTACACTGTTTAATATAATGATACTGCTCTACTAAGATTCTTCATAGCCTGTAGTATAAAGAATACAATGAACTTAGACGTTTTACCTCTGTGAGCTCCTTCTGACTTACATGGAAAATACCTTTAAACTTGTTCTGTATTTCTAGTCTGTACCTGGTTATTGAGATTTCACCCTACCTCCAAGCTGATGAAATACCCTTTTATTGTTTCATGGATGAAGGGAAAAGACATAAGTATACTTGACCAGTGACTAAGGACTTTACTCCTCCCAAAACAACAAGCAATATGAATTTCAACATGGTCAATTATGTTTCCCTTATCTCCAAGGCCTGGAGGGACACACAGCTCATTTGGGGTAGACGCTGTACCCACAGCAGAGAGACACTGATCAAGGATCCCCCTCTTGAGAAAAAGTAGTAAGCATACCTGCTCTTCTCCTAAGGTTACGTTTTCTTTTCCCTCCAGATTACTGTCTACGGACACATCCCTTGAGACATGGGCTTGGGAAAGAGCCCTTGAGCATTTCATTTTTGGCTCACCCAGCAAGAATTCGCAAGCTCATAATACACGGCATGTTGTCCTCCTAGCACAAGTTGTTTATTTTCTTCGTTTGATGCTCTCCTTGACATTTGGAGTAGGGGTGTGCCATAGAAGGGTGTACAAAATACCTTCCTGCTTTTAGTGGGAATTCTGTGTTGCCCAAGATGTGCGTTGGCTTTCCTTCAGTCTGTTTTCCTCAGTCTTAAGAGTTTTATTTACTCCTATGCTTGACAATAGATTATTAGCAGTCCTGATGTGCAGTTCGATTCTTTTTCTGTATGTTAGTTTGTATTTTTGTTATCCTAAGTTTTTTATTTGGATGTTTTAAAAAGCAGAAATTGGTCTTGTCAAACTAGTGCTCCATTACTGTGGAAAAATAGAAAAATTTTAAAATATGATTACAATACATGTTTCAGTTGAAAACACCAAAGAAAGTTGCAAAGGAAATAGAAAATACTGTAGTAGAGCATTGCTTTAATTTGCAAATCTTGAAAATATGTGATATATTTACTGAAAGAAGGAAAAAAGTTGGGAGACCCTCCTGTTAGTAGGATGCTTATGATTTTAGTTCAAAGAAATTTTGGGTGGCTTTGCTAGAGGCATAGGGATGGGAAGGTGCTGTCAATGAAAAATGTTCTAATTTTTCAGTATCGCTGTCTCCTCTTCAGACTAAGTTGTGTTTTGTATGATTATTAAGACTTTTGTTGTCTCTAGAATCAGTTAAGAAAGTCTGTACACTCATGGATACATGAATACATGAAAATATGTTTAATGTGTTACTTTTAATACTAGTGAAATGTGAAGAAATTTCGTCTTAATTTTCAAGTTGCTTAAAAATAGTGTTGCTAATAAAATTACAATGAAAAATATTCATAGTTTAAGAAGCTCACTTTCTGTAGTTATTTCTCAATCCATTTTAATACGGTGGGACACTCAAATTCTGTGGAGGTGGGAAAGGCATAAAATGATGCACTGTTTGAGTTGTAAACATTTTCTCAGCTATTTGCTGTTACATGTGTGTAATTTTTGGAGATTTTTTTTAAAAAAAATCACCTTCTTAATCACACTTCAACAACGCTTGCAGAGTTGCTTTGAAAAGTTCCAGTGTCCATGCTCTGTTAATAACTACTTTTGTTTTAGTCCTAGTTTTTTCTTATTATTCTTGATTGAAATGTTTTTAAAACTTCTGAGTTGCAATATAGCTTCTAAATCCTGAATTATATCACAGTTATAAATAGTGTAGAGAAAACAAGGAATATCCAGTTCTTTTTTTTTTTTTAAATTGAGTTTATTGGTACATTTTAAGTATACAGTACAGTTACATTCATCACTGAGATCTTGTACCTTTACATGACAGGTCTTGGTTCTCATTTATTCCCCATACCCCTGGCCTCCCTTCACCCCTTCCACCCTCCCCTGTTTACAAAGACTTTGTTTCCATTTTTTTCCTTTTCTCTTATTTTTTCTTTTCCCTTATTTCTCTTCCCCTACCCTTCCTACTTCCCCTACACCTTTAGCCATTTTCTTCCAATTTCACATTGTCAGTTATACAATTTGGAGCCTATTTACATTTTTAGCTTTTCACACTCCACTTATTATTTTAAATTTTTAAAAAATTGAAGCATAATAAATCCTCCTGGTAACTTATGCTGCTGCCATTCCTGCTCTTCACTCTTCTGAATTAATTGTATTATGCTTCTATACATTTTAAAATATTCTGGATACATAAGCTTGTGCTTCTGAGTAATACATAAAATCAATTTAACTTTTTAAATTTCTTAAATTTCTGTAGACTGGCATTTGACCACATACAGACATCACAACAGTTTTTTAAAACATTATGCTTTAGGGCTGGGGAGTTACCGCAGTGGTTCCAATGCCTGCCTTGCAAACATAAGGTCTTGAGTTCGATCCCCAGTACCAAAAAAAAAAAAAAAAATGATGCTTGAAAATG